CTAAATTGAATAGGTGTGGTCGAACATACCCATGGTTCGATCGAACCAGCCCATAGTTCGGCCTCACCTACCCTTGGTTCGACCGAACCACTCCACGAGCTTCACACGTGGTTATTAATGAAGATCAACCGGTCTAATAATGATGATGATGATGCAATTGGTGATGATAGCCATTGATTTGGAGCATTGATTATGATCGATGGTGGTGATTCAATGATGATTATTGATGAACGGTGGTGATGGTGAAGGCGCTTCAAAGGAGTTCAAATCAGCTTAATTCGAATGCGAAGGAGGAAGAAAGAAGAGGGTCTTATTTGATTTTGGTTTATTTTCCTTTGGTTTTATTTTTATTTCTTTTATTTTCTTTTCCCTTTTCTTATTTCTTTCTTTTATTTTTATATATAGTTTCTTATTTTATTTTTCCTTTTACTTTCTTTTCTTTTCTTTTATTTACTTAGTATTTTATTAGGTTGGTATATTTACCCATTTTTTGGGTAATTAGAAGGGGGAGAAAAACAATAACCATCTATTCTACTCTCTAATTAGTTTTAGGAGAGTTTCTCTCTCTAGGTTTAGGTTAGGATTAGGATAGTTTAGAGAGAGAAAGTGGTTTTCTTCATTGATGAACTTGGATTTTGAAGAAGGAGTTTGTTCAATCCTTTGTAGACCTTCATCTTCAATTAATGAGCAATCTCTTACTCTTTCTCTTTACCTTTGTTTTTTATTTTGCTTATTTGCTTTGATTTTTCTTCTTTGCTTATTAATCATGTTGATGTTTATTGATTTGATGATTGATATTGTTTTCAATATGATTTGTGAGTAGTCACCTAGCCAAGGGTGTGGGGATGGTGTAGTTGCTAATTGTTCATGCTTATAATGATGGGGTATTGTTAATAGTGATTAAAGTCTTTGCATGCTTGATATTCTTTGATCTTCTTGCAAGTGCACATTGTTAGTTGATTAAAGGTGAGTCTTTGCTAACAAGTAACGGAAGTTGACTTAGTTCAGATTCATTACTATCGATAGTTCTTTTATTGCACCTTCTAATATATGGTTCTAGTGTGGAAACATAGAGGCTATGTTAGGAGAAAACGATTAACCCCGGAAGGCGGTTAGATTGGGCCTTACTTCGATATTCATGCACGTTTAGTTTACCATTAATTTGCTACTTTGTTATTGCATGATCAAGCGACATCTACATCTACCCATTTCCCTTGGTGCTTAGTTATATTAATTTTAATCCATCTCGTTCTTAGTTTAATCTCTTAGTTATTCACACTTCTTGTTCCGAGATAGCTCAGACTCTAGGTAATAAATGCGGTGTTTATGCATTTCTCCCTGTGGTTCGATCCCTCTACTTTCCCTATATTTGTAATAGGTTGAGTCGAGTGTTATAAATTGTATTTGATTTAGGTGTAGTTGTTTGACGACGCAATTATTCCTTTGTCACTAATCTAGTCACAGAGCATTAAACCAATCAATAGGAAATTAATCTAGCATTGATAATTAACAACAATAAATTACCCCTTCATATTATTCATGGATCCCCATAAACCCTAAAAATATAACTACTCACACATAATAGAAACTAAACTAATCAAAGAAATAATGTAAGACATAATTAAGGGAATAAAATAAACAACTAAGATTAAGAGAAGAGAAAAAGTTATCAAACAAATCTGGTATTAAGAACAAAAGTATAAGGGAAAAAATATCTAAGAGAACAATTAAGAGAGTAAAGAAAGAGTCTAAGGAAAGAGAGAGGAGAGAGCTAAAATCGTATTACGGAGGAGTATTTATACTCCGTACAAATCCTAAACTAAAAAAAACTAAAACGACGCTAATCGTCTCCTAAAACTACACGCGCCCGATCGGGCGAGGCACCGCCCGATCGGGCGCGCCTTTTTGCTCATTAATACTAATCTCGCGCCCGGCCGGGCGCGTCACCGGGCGCCAACCTTAGCTTCTCCCGCCCGGCCGAGCGCGCCTCCAGGCGCCAGCCTCTTTGGCCGGGCGGCTCACTTGGGCCACTATTTGGACTACGATTGGGCTTCAACTCTTCGGGCCAATCTGGGTTTCCTCTTCCGGTCTTGAATACTCGGTCCAAATTCCCCACTATCACCTATACCGAGCCCTTAATCACCGGTTCGATGGCTCTAACCGACCCTGGGCTATAAAATCTGGTCGTATTTCTCCAATGCTCGTGATTGCTCCAAAATAACTCGGGAAAATACTCCAAAAGCATAAATCCCTACAAAAGTCAACCAAATCTACGAAAACACTAGAAAACACCAATTAGTAATAAAAGTGGCTCTAAAGAGCTAAAAACACTACTAATTATGACCAAGGGACGGGGGTAAAATACTATATAAAATAGACACATCAAGAGTAATGCCTTCCGCCAAGACAACACGACCCTCTTAGTAGCCATGGCCTTAGCACCATCGGGAAGACCAACGGGACAAGAGATAATAGAATGAGCATCTTGTAAAAAATTGTCATTGCTGGTAACATGATGGGATGCTCCGGTGTCAATAATCCATGAGAGCAATAAAGAGTCACTAGCCATAGAGTTCATAGAAGGATCGAACACACCCAAAATAGAAGAAAGAGGAGTAGTAGTAAACCGATGGGCAGCAGCAATGGAGGAAGCAGTTGCAGCAGCAATGGAGGAAGCAGTGGCCGCGGGGTGGGGTCGCGGGATATCCCCGCGGCCTGGTAGAATTGGTGTGGTGGGTGCAGCAGCCGCGGGACAGAGGCGCGGGATATCCCCGCGACCTGGCTGATCGTGCGACACATGGGAAGCAATTGTCGAAGACAAAGAACGCCCTTTACTTCCATATCTGTCCAGCCACCAATCGGGTAGGCCGTGGACAAGAAAGCAATAGTCGTGGCCCGATCGATTGCAGTGGGTACAATTGAGAATCGACTTGCGGTTGGGATTAGAAATAGACATACGATTGTTGTCATTCACCATGTTTGAGCAAGAAGAAGAAGTAGAGTAGTAGCATGAGAAGCAGCGCACAGATGTAGAGTAGTAGTATGGGAAGCAACGCACAACAATCGAAGGAGTAAACCAATAGAATTGGGAAAAACCCAAAATGCGATTTAGAACAGCAAGAAGATTCGTAGAAATTGCTTGATTAAAAAAAATCCAAAAATTTGATTGTAGAGATTATGATAGAAATTAATTTAGGGATTAGAATGTAGAAAGTAGAAATTGATTTTAGGGATTAGAATGATTTTGGCTCCGATATCATGTCACGAAAATATTTTCCGTCGTTTCATTAGAGTGTAGAGTAGAGTATTTATACAAGTGATTAGGGCTCAAGAAATAGGCCCGTTAACTATACAATATAAACACTAATTATAGGCCCTAACAAATATTGTGACCAACTATATGGGATAACCACATTTGTTTTTTTTTGGTGTTTAGAGAGCCACAAGGGCGGTGGAGAGAGTCGATCCCAATATCTCCTGAAACCAGGAGGAAAGCTCTAATCACTTGAGCTATTCCGCCCCAATCACCATTTTATAGGTTAAAGAGACTCTTAAGGAGAAGCGCAAGAGAATGGTTCCTTTATAAGTCTGCCAAGAAATATAGGCTTGCCTATCATCCATAACAGAATAATTGATTTTTCCCTAAAAGCCTGTTACAAGCTGGGCTCGGGTTTTTGGCTTGGAAAAAGCTTCCCCTTTAGTCATCAAGTTACTCTATCAGTAAAATAGAGGTTATTCTGTCAGTATAATATGATTACTTTAACAGTAGAATAGAGGATATTCTGTCAGTATAATAGGTTACTGAATTTTTTACAAGCGGCCACACAATGCAGCCAGTAATAAAAAAATAAATAATATTTGGATATTAACTCATTCACCTCTATCGCGGATAACAAATCATGAGATTACATTGTAGACAGGGTCACCTACTTTCTAGCTAAAATAGATATCGAAGTACTTTGACAAATTTAAATTTATTTTTTTAATAAAAAGTTGTAATAAAAAGTTGTAGATTAGTGAGTAAGATTAGCGCTAAGCAATCAAGCAAATACTCATCAATCGTGTGATTTAATGTATTGTAGTGAATTTGATTCAATTCTAGGTGTACCATCTAAAATGAAAGAGATTAACATTGGTACATGTCAGATGTCACAAACTCACAATACCATCAGAATTTCTCTTAGCATTTACAAAAAGCATAGACGCAATCATAAAAAGTTTTATTTTATTTTATTTTTATTTATTTATTTTAATTATTACAGTAAGGTTTTTGATAACCGGAGTAATGTGATAATGTAGCCAGGAGCTAAGTTCAATTATGCTCAGATGATGACACAGACTTATGAAGTCGCAAAACATTGCTTGAAAACTTAATACCATGGAGCAAAGAGAACCACTGAAGCTTTGCCTCCTTTGCTCTGAGTTATCGGATTCACCAAGGATCAGCAATGTTTCCTCTTCTATGGGGAAGCTAAAGGTATATTGCATATAAACATCATCAACTGAGAAAAATACTCATCAATTAACTAGCACTTTTCTTTTCTCCCCAGAATATACCAAATGAAAGAATCAAAGGAGTGTTTTAGGTGATGCTGATAACCTTACAGAAGAACAAGTGGAGGAGATTGTAAACGAGTTGCAGAGACTTTAATTACTGTTCATTCTGAGAGAAGGGCTGGCCTTCTATCATGGCAACCTATATAGTGTCAAAGGCAGCTTTGAATAGGTATAAAAGAATATTGGCTAAGAAATACCCGTCAATTATCATTAACTGTGTTTGTCCTGGCTTTGTTAAGACAGATATCAACGGAAACTTGGGAGATTTTACAGTTAAAGAAGGGGGTGCAAGTCCAGTGAGATTAGCATTGCTGCCCCATGGTTCACCTTCTGGTCTTTTCTTTGCAAGAAATAGAGTTTCTTCATATAAATAAAATGAATTACATATTCAAACCGGTTTCAGATCAAACAATTGTTACCAGTTTACCACTGGAACTCATCACTAGTACAAAAATCAATGTAAACCATAACAAATGTATAAATATTTCACATTACATATCTACAAGTTTCTCATTCATGCTTATCCGACGACAGCTTTTGGCATGCTGTCTTAAAACTTTCTGATCTCTTTTTGTACATTTTGTCTGACTGCAAACATTAACAGTCTATAACTCACTTACACAGTTAATTGATCAAAAAACTAATAAGAACACCCTTATTTCTGTCCTTTCATGGCAGTGTAAGGAATGTTATAAACCTTATCACACCTTTTATCCCACAGATAAAATCCAATCCAAGCTGACTACTAGTGTTGCGTTGCATGTACCTTGTCATGTTCCCTTACTGTGTTCGTCTTCCCAGTCATAGATTCACTGAGATCACGTAGACAAAAAGTCAAACACGAGAATATGATGTCAGCTAAAGTAGAGAAAGAGAGTTTGACCAGTGAACACACTGAAAAGAATTGTCAGCTGAAATATCAGCACTAATTAAGAACTAAAGCATCAACTAGAAGTAAAATCTACTCCGTACTAGCTTTCTGCAAAAGAGTATGAGTTTGTACTTTAATTACACTACCTATAAAGAAGAGATGAGCGAGTCATGGGGATCTTCATCACTTGGAGACCAAGAAGACCTCAGGCTTACTAGATTTCGGTGTGTTAGCATTGGAAGAAGAAGTGGCTAAAGCAGCAGACTTAGCGGTGGCGCGAGCACGATTGTCAAGCTGAACAAGGCTTCGTGTAGCCAGGATAGCCTGTGGAGCTAGGTCATGAGAAGCCCTGGCATAGAGACGCCTCACCGCCACAGAAGCAGCGTCCTTAACCTCCTGGTTATTCAGAGGAGCAGGAGCAAGCAGACAGTGACCCAGTATCCTTAGCAACGGCTGCAATAGCTCCCAGGGCAGCAAAATTCTCACCCCTTCTTGTTCCTGCCCATGTCCCTGTCTCCCAGAAGAAGAAGAATGTGACATCTGGGAGTGATTGGTATTGTTGCCATTGATATCCAACCTAGAAATAACCTCTGAAAGGATAATCTCACTTCCTGCTGTTCCATTTTGGTGAGGTTGAGGGTGTTGAGCAATGATACCTCCAATAGTACTAGACCTACTGGTGGTGCTAGTAGTGGAGGAAACAACCAGGTCCTCACTGACAGAGACAGCATCGTCATCGTCATCCAGTCGATTAGCAGTTGTAGTAGGAGTATTGCAATGGAAGTCAAGAGAATGAGCACAGGGACAATCACTACCAGCCCACGAAGCAGCAAAACGGCAGAGATCTATCTTAGACCAAAGTGGCATTTGGGAGATGTGTTTGAAAAAGCAATGGAAGGCTACCCCGACAATGGTAGCACGCTTTGTGGACTGGATCCCTATTTGGGGCTCTAGAGGTGGGGAGATAACCCCAACTCCAATTTCAATTCCAATTCCAGACACACCAGAAGGAGAGGGAGAAGAAGAAGAGGATGATCTGGAAAAATTATTTTTATTAACAGGAGGAGAGTGAGGTTGAGGAGATGGGGTGTGATAGAGGGAAGGATGGTGAGCAAGGTAAGCAGGTGAAGGGATGGAAACGAGGAGGGGTTTTCCAGCACGAGCCTTAACCTCAGAAGAGTAGAGAGCCAAGAGAACGGCTTCAAAGCCTGCTAGGGAAGGGGAGCCGAGGGCAGAAGGGGAGGTGGTGGAGAAGGTGTGAATGCGAGATAGATAGAGTCCAGCAATGAGAGGCACCAAGGAAATCACCACAAGGCGGAAGTCTAATTCAGAGTCGTCAGAAGACTGGAGGAAGGTGTCATAGAGCCATTGACAGAGAGGATCATCACCAGATCCAGAGAGAGCAGATGAAACAGCAGAGTAGGTTTCATAGGAGTCCAGAAGGGAGCGAGCAGGTTGATCAGAGTCAACCAGGGAAGAGAGAGAATCACTAGATGAAAATGGAGGGAGGAGAGAGAGAAGGGCTTGGATTCGGGAGCGAGCTTTGGACACTGACTCCCACCATGATTCCATTGGATCCTGTTGCTACTACTAGTGTATATGATGTTACTGCTGCTGCTGCTGTTGATGTAGATTGAAATGGAAAATCTAAATCAGCCACAAACTGCAAAATAACTGCAACAGAAAAGAAACAAAAGAATTATCCACGAATGAATTTCAAGGTTGAGGTAGCAATCAAATAACAAGAGACAAACAATAAAAGATCATAGTGGCTCTTAATTACACCCTATGGTCCCTATCTGTTTAGTAAGCACTAAGCACTTGACAAACAAGGTTAAATATCATCACACACACATAACAAACTCCCTCTAAACCTAAAAGAACATGGAAAAGAAAGGAAAATCAGATTCTTCAAATACGAATCAGTAAGTTGCTGATTACTAGGTGCAAGTGTGATATCAAGAATTTTAACCGAAAATTCAATATCTATCAATCAATCAATCAAAGTCGACCCCATATCAACCATAAAATCTGTAACTCCATGAGGGGTAAAAAGTAGAAATTGAGAGGTCAACAAAGCCTTCAAGATTCAAAATGCGGAGGATGAAAGGAAAGTTTCAATAAAAAATGATGTACTGCCTTAATCACCTTCCTCTCTCTCGGTCCCTCCCCCTAGTTCCTACCCATGTAACATCCCTCATGGCGCACACATTCCTTGTACTGATAATATTGGACATGAATACTTAGCTAAAAGATATTAAATCAATCCTTCATGGCATGAATCCAATAAAAAGGAAACCATCGACTAAAGTGCTACTTGCATCTGAAAACCCCCACTCGATAACAACACCAAAGTAGCAGCTGGTGCTCTCGGTATATATCAGGAGAGGGAGATGACTAATTCAGAGTAGTTATTTCTTAATTTATGTTCTCATCCTCTTAATTTTGAGTTAAGAGCTTAGCAAAGGGTCAATCCTTCTCAAATCACCATCTTACGACAGAGTTTATGAGTGGCCAAAGTCCCTTCCTCATCCACCAAGATCCTATCACACCTCCAAACAAGTCGATTGGCATCATTGCCTACGACACCTATCCATTTCTGTTTTGAAGTAATTACATTACTTTCTAGTTTAGAAATTTCTCATTTTCATGATTCTCATTGTAATTCATGCTTAATTAAAGGGTTGACAATGAATAGTTGAAAATCAACACCAGAAGAGGTCTAACATTAAAGGATTGTGCAATACATTAGCAACCAAATCAGATTCAACAATTATCAAACAAAACCCGAAAAATCACACAATTTTAGGGATATGTGATTCAATATCAAATTTCTAGCAACAATATGATCTTTCATAATATTAGTAATTAGTTGAGATTTTGGAACCCTACACTTACTGCATTGACAATTAAATAAGGTCAAAGATGAACCCTAGATTGTGCAATTGATATGATGATTACTAAAAGAAACAACAGCGAACTTACCTCAGAAGCTGCTGAGAAAAAATGGTTTGTAATGGAGAACGTCAACTGCGATATTCAGTGCGCTTCAATGGAGATCTGAGAGAGAGAAGGGGGAGCAAACTATGCAGGGCTATTGTCATCCGATTTTTATTTTATTTTATTTTATTTATTATTATTATTATTAATATTATTATTATTATTATTATTATTATTATTATTATTATTATTATTATTATTACTTTTGGACGTAGTTCATCTGCTTTTTGGGTAAATACAAGTTAATCTCTAAGATTCACAAAATTTGTTTATCACATCGCAATTTTGTAAATAAATCAACAACTTTTTCCATAAAAATGGGTCCTACAGTGATGATGACTGGATAAAGTTGTTGATTTATTTACCAAAATGTCACGTGATAAACAAATTTTGTTTATCCCAAAGATTAACTAGGGCTTCCTCGTTTTTTTTGACGTAGCAATTTATTTAATGGGTTGAAGCTTAAAATGAAAATTAAACCTCCCATTAAAAAAAATGAACATTAATAAAGAAAATTTAACAACAGCGCAACAATTTTTGCTTCGTCCTCCCAAAATGCACCAGTCTCGAAATCTTCCCAAAATAAACCTAAGTTGCTTTTATTTTTTCCTCCCAAATTAAACCAAATATATCGGCAGCTGGATAATTAAGTCAACATCAGCCATGTAAACCTTGGTCCTTGGCTGGTTTGCTTCCCTTCCAAATCAATTGAAACACCATAACTCCCCCTTCAACCAACTACGTCGCATCATCATCAATGCTCAAAACTGAGCCACTCCGAACCTACTCTTCCCCTACATCGCAGTTACTCACTCACTCTCTCTCTCTCTGCAAATTACTGTTTTCCTAATTTGGTACTGGGATTGTACTCGATTGTCTAAGCATTCAAGCGAAGATAAATTTCCTGCAAAATCATTGTGGTCCTCGAATAATTAAAGCACAAATGGTATGTAATATGCACATCCCTAAATTTGATTCATTTTGCAGTTTATTGCGTGCGAGATTCAATAATTACCTTTTTATTATTCATTGGTCTGAAATTGCGCACTTGAATTCGATTAAAGTAATTGGATTGATGATGATTAATTGCAATTTGTGTTTAGGTTTTTTTTTCCAGCTTTTAATTGAAATGTTGGTGTTGATTTGTGGCTGAATTTTGGTCATTTTATTGTTGGTAAATGGTAGACGGGTGATCCTTTGGCTAATGTAACTCTTAAGTACTTGTATAGGGCAAATATGTGGGAACTGGAGCATTAGTGTATTATGAAGGTGGAAAAGGTAGGACTTTTGATGTTGATCCTAATTAATTATGTTGGTGGTGGTTAGAAGACTTTGCATAACAATGTGGGGTTGAAATCCTAGAGGTTCTGCTATACTTGGTACCTGGTTTGACCTTAGGGCTGGGGTTAAGGGGTTATTTTAGGCCTGGTCCAAATTGAGCTAAACATTGACAAAATAATAACATAAGTGTCTCGTTAGGCGTGTTTAAATCGACATTATAAAAGTCAAAATCTACATAATTAGACATGCAAAACGAGGCATTAATGTGTTTCGGCGATTTCGAGTTTAATTTTTTCCCTTAAGAAATAAAATGACTCCAAAAACTTTACCCAAACAATTTTTCGCAAAAAAAAATAAATAAAAAATTGCACTCAAATTGATATAATTTTTTACACGCAAAATAAAGCATTGGCGTTAATTTTTTTGCTGATTTCGAGCTCAATTTAGGTCCTTAAGAGCAAAAAATGACCCCCTAAAACTTTATTGAAATATTTTCTGCCACACAAAACAAGTAAAAACAATTTAATAGTTGACCACTAACGAAACCCTAATGGAAATATTTAAGTGGAAGCAAAATCTTTTTTTTTTTTTTTTTATGTTTTTGGTGCTAGTAAAATTAAATAAAACATTAGAAGGGTAGCAAAGTCAAAGTGGTGCTTTTAAAAGTCAAATTTTCCCTATTATAATAGATGCTTTTAAAATCTGAGGATTTTTTTGGTGACGAAATAGGAGAATTGATGAGGCTTTCTAGGGTTTAAAACCGTATTTCTATGATTATTTTCTAAATTTGTTCCCTCCATAGTTGCATATGATGGACATAAAAAGTCAAAGAGTCATATATGAGTTTATCTACCGAGAATAAAGAAAATGGATGTAATTTTTGTTTTAAAAGTAAAAGGGTCAGGGAAAAAAATGATATGTTTCAACCCGGTCCACCCAGCTTAAATTTTAATGTGACCTGCCAATTACCTGACCCTTTAAGAATTGATCCCCTTTTTAAGAATTGATCCCCCCCCCCCTGCCCTTGACTCGACCCATTGAGCAGGTTTATTGACAATATCCATTAGAGTATCTTGTACTCACGTATTTTTATGTAATGGATTTCAATCTATCTATTGTAATTTTGCAATAATTATAATTGTCTTATTTGTTCTTTTTCATTTTATCGAATCTCTTTAGACTTATATTTTAATTAAGTGGTGTACACTCCGATCATACATAATGTATACATTAAACATAGGTTTTGTTATTTTTTAACAAAAAAGAAAAAGATACGAGTACTTGATAGCTTTGACTTGGTACTACTAATCATGTGCTCAATTCATTTCTAAATAAGCGAATGTTACATTTGTTGCCTCAAATTATTATTCTTTTGTAATTTTTTGTCTAGTGAAGAAATTTGACGTCATGATATGGCTATTAATTACTAGTAAATGAAGCAACAAAAAAAAGAAAATCCTTTTAAGTTTGGGAATGAAAAGAATAGTTCGTTTATGCGAATATTATTTCTAAAATTGATAGAATGGAGGTATGAGAAGATCGTTATATTATTCAGTTGTTATATTTGATACTTACCACAATTTGTTTACCCCTCACTATCTTATAATAAATGGTTACCCGTGAAGGCCGTGATCAGAACTTTCTATAATACCCCGTTTTTGAAACGTATTTTCTAATTAATTAATTAATTAGTATTCTCTCGAAAGGTATTTTAGTAATTTATTTTACTATTTGAATTTAGAGCCAAAATGATATTTGAATTTTGCCGCCAAAAGTATTTTAAAAATTAATTATTATTTGATTTTGGATAAGATTTATTATCCATTTATTTTATGATAAAAACCGGATTTTTATATATTTAAGATATTTTAATAAAGCAAAAATTATATTTTCTTATTATTTTAAAGGGCTGAAAATCCAATTTAATTAGCTAGTAATTTCGGATTTTCTAAATGTAGAAAATCTGATTTTTTTTTTTGGGTAATTAAGTTATTTTAATTTGGTATTTTGTAATTAATTAATTTCTACAAAATATATTATTTACACAAACATTTTTATTCCTTAAAAACTTGCAAAATATTTTCCTTAATATCTAAAGGGAGGTCCGAAAATATGAGCTTAGGAAAGCTCAAATTTTCGGCCACCATATTATATATTGAGCAAAATTATTTTGGTAATTTTAGTATTTTAACTATCTTCCTTAAATCTATGATTTTCCTTAATTTTATTTCTCCATCCCCTAAATATTTTATCATGTTATTTACCTACCTTATATCTTACTTCCTTGATTACTTCCCAAGTAATCTCTTTTGTCATATTATTTTTCATGACAACAAACTTTCCTTAATTTTATTATTCTTAATCACCTTAATATCAAAACTTTCCATATTTCTTTATTCTCTTCTCCAAGTAATTCCTTAATTCTTCTTGCCATAATTCTTCTTACATTCTCCTACCATAATTTTTTCATTCATGAGCCTATAAATACCCCCTCATACCTCTCATATTCTTCACACCAAAACCCAATTCTCTTCTTCTCTACCTTTTCATACTTTTCTTTCTACTATTTTCATACATAATCAGCCCGTACACATTGGAAGCCAATTTTCGGGAGCTTCTGATCGGTTTGGGGGGTTTTTATGTTTCACAAAAAATTGTTCCTCTTAAAACATCCTTGAGGTTAGGATCAAAAATCACCCAATTTGGAGTTATATTGAAGGAGTTATGGCCTCATCATCAAGTTCTGCCTATTCTTTCCAACGAAAATTCAATTCTCTTTAATCCTACTCCTCTATTTTCTTCATGGTTAGTTTTCTAAAATATAAATTCCTATTCCAAAATTATAATTGTATATTAAAATTATTTTTAAAAAAGTTTTACAATTCATGGACATTAGATTTGAGTTTATGTCTAAAGATGTTATAACCTTATGGTTATGTTAATTGCAAGGTGTATTCGTGATTGAAATTTAAAAGTGCGAAGTGTTGATTGAGATTCAGAATCAAGGTACTTTTAGGTGGCTAGAACCCTTTGAAAATGATTGGTTTGAATAACATGTTTTGTATGATATTATTGGTGATTGAATAATATTGGTTTGAATTATGATTTATGAAATAAGTTATGTTTGGAGGTATTGATTTTAATACTTGGTTTGATAAATATATTTGAAGGATTGATTTTCATATCATGTTTTGAATTATGGTTTGAATTACTTATCATTTTTAAATAAAGAAATTGATTTGAAAAGTTTGATGAATTAAATAAAAGGATTTTCAAAGGAAGAGTTATTGATTTTG